CATCCCTCACCCCCCGGGCTGTCCCCAGGGCTTGGTGGCCACCCTGAACTGCGGGAACACCCTGGGGACACCTCAGGGACACCCCAGTGCCACCATCCCTCACTCCCCCAGGGCTTGGTGGCCACCCTGAACTGTGGGGACACCCCGGGGACACCCCAATGTCACCACCCCTCACGCCCCATGCTGTCCCCAGGGCTTGGTGGCCACCTTGAACTGCTGGGACACCCCGGGGACACCCCAGTGCCACCACCCCTCACACCCCGTGCTGTCCCCAGGGCTTGGTGGCCACCCTGCACGAGGGGGACGACTTCGGGCAGCTGGCGCTGGTGAACGACGCCCCGCGGGCGGCCACCATCCTCCTGCGCGAGGACAATTGTCACTTCCTGCGCGTGGACAAGCAGGACTTCAACCGCATCCTCAAGGTGGGCCCGGGGGCTCCGTTCCCCGCCGGTTCGGGGGGATTTTGGGGAGATTTTGGGGGGATTTTAGGGGGGATTTTAGGGGGGATTTTGGGGACTCCCGGCCGGGCTGACGGCGGGATCGCCCCCCAGGACGTGGAGGCCAACACGGTGCGGCTGAAGGAGCACGGCAAGGTGGTGCTGGTGCTGCAGAAGGACCTGCAGGGGGGCAGCGGCCAGGCGGCCTCGGCGCGGAGCAGCAGGTGACACCGCTGTGCCCCCCGTGGCAGGTGCCACCCGTGTCCCTGTCCTTGTGGCAGGTGCCACCCGTGTCCCTGTCCTTGTGGCAGGTGACACTCGTGTCCCTGTCCTTGTGGCAGGTGTCACCCCTGTCCCCTGAGCCTCCCCCTCTGCCCTTTCCAGCCTCTCTCGGGGCAGTTTTGGGGAGGAACAAGGGGATGAGGAGCAGGGACACCGGCCCGTGGTGGCACCAGCCCGTGGTGGCACCAGCCCGTGGTGGCACCGCTGGCACCAGGTGTCACCTCGGCCCCTCCTGTCCCCAGCAGGTACCTGGTGATGGCCGGGACGCCCGAGAAGATCCTGGAGCACCTGCTGGAGTTCATGAGGCTCGATGCCACCCTCTACGACCCCGTGGGTAGGTGGGGGTGTCCCCCCTGTGTCCCCCCTGGGTGGGGGTGTCCCCCTGCGCCGGGGACCGTCCCAGAGCCACCGAGAGGGGACAGACGGGGCGGTGGCACCGAGCGGGGCTCCTCATTCCCGGTGTCCAACCCCAAATCCCGCTCGTGCCACCCTGGGATCGCTAAAAGCCCAAAAGCCGAGGCCGGGAGAGGGCGGCAGCTCCGGGGCGGGGAGCGGCCGCTCCGCCGCGCCTCTCGGTCTCCCTCTGCCTTCGAGAGGAGAAACCCGGGCGAGCCGGGAGCCAGGAGATGTCCCCAGCGGGTCACACATCCCGGCCGGGGACACCGGCGCTGCCTGGGAGCCGATCCCCGGGATCTGCGCTCCCTCCCTGGGTCCCCGGGATTTGCAATCTGCATCCCCGGGATTTGCATTCCCTCCCCGGGATCTGCGCTCCCTCCCTGGGTCCCCGGGATCTGCGATCCCTCCCTGGGATTTGTGATCCCTCCCTGCATCCCCGGGAACGGCGCTCCCTCCCTGGGTCCCCGGGATTTCCAATCTGCATCCCCGGGATTTGCATTCCCTCCCCGGGATTTGTGACCCCTCCCTGCATCCCCGGGATTTGCAATCTGGATCCCCGGGATCTGCGCTCCTTCCCTGGGTCCCCAGGATTTGCAATCTGGATCCCTGGGTTTTGCATTCCCTCCCCGGGATCTGCGATCCCTCCCTGCATCCCCGGGGTCTGCGATCCGGCCCCTCCCGTGGGCTTTAGGAACAGAATCTGCCCCGCCAGCAGCGGGGTCCCCGCGGTGGGGACACCCCGGGCCACCCTGGGGCCACCCCAGGCAGGGCACGGGGGGGTCCTTGGCTGGGTGCCCGTGTCCCCAGGCGCTGGGGACAGCAGTGACGGTGCCCCGGTCCCGCTCAGACACGCTGCTCGGGGATTTCCTGCTCACCTACACCGTGTTCATGCCGACCTCGCAGCTCTGCCGGGCCCTGCTGCACCAGTATCCTTCGGAGCGGGAACTGGGGGGACTGGGCTCCGCCGCAGGCTGGGGACACGCTCAGAACTGTCCCTGTCACCTCGTGGGGAGCCCCACGTCCCCTTTCAGTGCTCGTGGGCACATCCCCATCTCCCGGGGTGACATCCCTGGGGCTGGGGACACGCTCAGCCCTGTCCCTGTCACTTCGTGGGGAGCCCCACATCCCCTTTTAGTGCTGTCAGGTGCATCCCCATCTCCCGGGGTGACATCCCTGGGGCTGGGGACACGCTCAGAACTGTCCCTGTCACCTCGTGGGGAGCCCCACGTCCCCTTTTAATGCTCGCGGGCGCATCCCCATCTCCCGGGGTGACATCCCTGGGGGTTCCCCACCCCTCTCCACGTTTTTCTGGTGCCCTTGACTGGTGCCAGTTTCCGCGCGGAGCCGCTGGAGGGCTCGGAGCAGGACAAGGCCGCCTATTCCCTGCGGAAGCGGCGGAAAATCCTGCGGCTCGTCAGCCAGTGGGTGCTGCTCTACGGGCGGCTGCTGCAGGGTGACCGCAGCACCACGGCGCTGCTGCAGGTACGGCCAGGGCGACACGGCGACACGGTGACACGGTGACACGGTGACACGGCGGGACCGCCCCGCGCTCACCCCCGCGCCCCTGTCCCCGCAGAACCTGGCGGACCTGGCGAGCCGGGACCCCCAGCTGGGCGGGCTGGGCCAGGAGCAGGGCCAGGAGCGGCGGCGACCCCGGCCGTGAGTCCCCCCGGTGTCCCCTCGTGTCCCCCCGGTGTCCCCTCGTGTCCCCCCGGTGTCCCCTCGTGTCCCCTCGTGTCCCCCCAGTGTCCCCCTGGTGTCCCCTGGTGTCCCCTGGTGTCCCCCCAGTGTCCCCCTGGTGTCCCCTCGTGTCCCCCCAGTGTCCCCCTGGTGTCCCCTCGTGTCCTCTCGTGTCCCCCCAGTGTCCCCCTGGTGTCCCCTCGTGTCCCCACGTGTCCCCTCGTGTCCCCTCGTGTCCCCCCAGTGTCCCCCTGCTGTCCCCCCGGTGTCCCCGGGTGCCACCGCGGGCGGCGCTTCCCTGGGGAGGAGCTTTTGGCGCGGCTCTGGTGCCACCTTGTCCCCGGTGTGGGTGTCCCCGGCCGTGGGGAGGGTGGCACGGGCAGCCGGGTGGGACAGGGGGGCTCGGAGGTGGCCACAGCCCCCGGAGTGACCACAGTCCCCGGGAGTGGCCACAGCCCCCGGAGTGGCCACAGCCCCCGGAGTGACCACAGCCCCCGCAGTGACCACAGTCCCCGGAGTGACCACAGCCCCCGGAGTGGCCGGTCCCGGTTCTGTTCCCACCGGGAGCGGCGGCTCCACCGTCCCCCATCCCCTCCCGCAGGCTGGAGAACGGAGACGGCAGCGTGTCCCCCCAGCCCAAGGTAGGGAGCCCCGGAGGGGGTATGGGGCAGGCTGGGGGTCCCCTGTGCCCTTTGGGGACGCGCCACAGCGGGCCGGTGGCAGCGGCCGCGTCCTCCCGCCTGTCCCCCCCGGCAGGCCCGGAGCTCGGGGATGTGGCTCGGGAGCCCCGAGGAGGCGATCCCGGACAGCGGCTGCGCCCTGAGAGCCCAGGACAAAGGTAGTGCCCCCACGGAGGGGATGCACCCCGCGGCGCGGGGACGCTGAGGTCCCTCTGTCCCCTCGCAGTGCCCTACGAGATCTTCAGGGCCGACCACTCGTGCGTGGCGCCGGTGCTGCCCGTGAACGCCGCGGTGCGGGACGTGCTGCGGGCCCTGGCGCCGCGGCTGCGCCGGGACCGGGAGCACGTCCTGGTCAAGGTGAACTCGGCCGGAGGTGAGGGACTCCCCCGGGGTGGCCTTGTCCCCGTGGCCAGCCAGGGTCTGTCCCCGCTCCATGCCGCCCGCCCTTCCCTGCCCGCAGAGCGAGCGGTGCTGCCGCAGGACGCCGTGGGGGTGTTCACGGCGCTGGGCCTCAACGAGAGGCTCTTCGTGGTCAGCACGGACGAGCTGGGCAGCCTGGTGAGCGCGGGGTGAGGGCCGGGGTGGGCAGCACCGGGCGGGCCCCCAGAGGGGTTGGGGGGTGCCTCGGTTTGGGGCGTCTGCCCCTCCTGAGGGCAGGAGGGGTCAGGGGTCCTGTGCTGTGCCCAGACCCCCCACCCTGAGCAGCTGGGACCCCACGCCGGCTCCTCGGACACCCTGGACCTGATCAGCTCCAAGGAGCTGGCCAGCCACCTGACCGACTACGACTGGAACCTCTTCAAGAGCATCCACCAGGTGGGGAGACATCCACCGTGTGGGGGGACATTCACCAGGTGGGGGGACATCCACTGGGTGGGGGGACATGCACCAGATGGGGGGACACCCACCAGATGGGTGGACATGCACCAGGTAGGGGGACACCCACCAGGTGGGGGGACATCCACTGGGTGGGGGGACATGCACCAGGTAGGGGGACACCCACCAGGTGGGGGACATCCACCGGGTGTCCCCGGGAGCGCGGCGGGCTGGGGGGTTCGGGGCGCCCCTCACCTGCCTCCTCTCGCAGGTGGAGATGATTCACTACATCGTGGGGCCGCACAAGTCCCACGAGGTCGCCACGGCCAACCTGGCGCGGGTGATGCGGCGCTTCAACGAGCTGCAGTTCTGGGTGGCCACCGAGCTGTGCCTGTGCCCCGAGCTGGGGCGGAGGGCGCAGCTCCTGCGCAAGTTCATCAAGCTGGCGGCGCAGTGAGTCCCCATCGCTGTCCCCGTCCCCGTGTCCCCATGGCTGACCCGTCCCCGTGTCCCCATCACTGACCCTGTCCCCGTGTCCCCATCGCTGTCCCTGTCCCCATGTCCCCATCACTGTCCCCATCCCCGTGTCCCCGTCACTGTCCCTGTCCCCGTGTCCCCATCACTGTCCCTGTCCCCGTGTCCCCATCACTGACCCGTCCCGTCCCCGCCTGCAGCCTCAAGGAGCAGAAGAACCTGAATTCCTTCTTCGCGGTGATGTTCGGTGTGAGCAACACGGCCGTGACTCGCCTGGCCAAGACCTGGGAGGTGACAGCGGGGGGACAGCAGGGGGGTCACGGGAGGGGGAAACAGCCCCTGGGGAGTGGCAGCCGGGGGTCTCTGGGGAGTGGCAGCCGGGGGTCTCTGGGGAGGGGCAGCCGGGGGTCTCTGGGTGGGACAGGCAGGTACCAGCCCCGTGATCCCGTCCCTGCACAGAGGCTGCCCCACAAGATTCGGAAGCTGCACTCGGCCCTGGAGAGGATGCTGGTGAGCGCAGCCCACCCTGCCCGTGTCCCCTTCCCACCCCGTGTCCCCCTTTCCTTCCCCATGTCCCCTTCCCACCCCGTGTCCCCCTTTCCTTCCCCATGTCCCCTTCCCTTCCCTGTGTCCCCTGCCCCTCCCCGTGTCCCCCTTCCCTGTGGGATTTGCCCCTGGGGCAATGGGGAGGGGGTGGCACTGTCCCCCCTGTCCCCTCCATCCCCGTGTCCCTGCCTGTCCCCAGGACCCCTCGTGGAACCACCGTGTCTATCGCCTGGCCGTGGCCAAGCTGAGCCCCCCCATCATCCCCTTTGTGCCCCTGCTGCTCAAAGGTGGGTGTCGGCTTTTGGGGACCCTCTGGGTGTGTCCAGCCCTCCCAGGGGCCCCGCTCTGACCCCTAAACCCCTCCAGACATGACCTTCATCCACGAGGGCAACCGCACCCTGGCCGAGAACCTCATCAACTTTGAGAAGATGGTGAGCGGGGTGGTGACCTGCTGTGCCCCCGTGCCCCGGCACGCGGAGCTCTGCCGCTGGAACCACCAGGGGGGTCCCGGCACGGTCACGGCCGTGGCAGGGACAGAGTTTTTGGGGATCCAGGCGGGGCCAGGTGGCAGCAGGTGACCTCTGTGCCTCACCTGCAGCACATGATGGCCAAGACCGTGCGAGTCCTGCAGCGCTGCCGGGGCCACGCGCACGGTGAGCGCTGCGGGGAGCCGGGGGGGTCCTGGAGAGGGCCTGGGGACACGGCTGGGCCTCGGGGACATGAGGACACGGCTGGGCCTCGGGGACACGGGGACACGGCTGGGCCTCGGGGACACGGCTGAGCCCCTGGGGACAGGGACAGGGCTGAGCCTCGGGGACACGGGGACACAGCTGGGCCTCGGGGACACGGGGACACAGCTGGGCCTCGGGGACACGGGGACACGGCTGGGCCTCGGGGACACGGGGACACGGCTGAGCCCCTGGGGACAGGGACAGGGACAGGGCTCAGTCCCTGGGGATGGGGCTGAACCCCTGGGGATGGGGCTGAGCCACTGGGGACAGGGCTGAGTCCCTGGGGACAGGGACAGGGACAGGGCTCAGTCCCTGGGGACAGGGGGACACGCCTGAGCCCCGCTCTCTCTGTCCCCCCAGCACCTCTGTCCCCACTGCGGAGCCGCTCCCCGCACCGGCCCGAGGACGCCAAGGCCGTCAGGATCTCCACGTGTGCGTCTGGAGTTCCTCAATCCCACCCCTCCTCTGGTTCCAGGGGACCCCCAACCCTCTGGGGGGGTCCCCGAGCTGAGGGAGAGGGGATGGAGACAGAGAATCCATGGAGGGACCCAGCAGCCAGTGCTGGGTGGTGGGGAGGTTTGGGGGGACACGGGGGGAGGCGGGGGTGGTCCTGCAGGGATGGAGGGGCTCAGGAGGCTGTGCTGGGCACTGGGGAAGTTTGGGGGGACACGGGGGGAGGTGGGGGTGGTCCTGCAGGGATGGAGGGACTCAGGATGCTGTGCTGGGTGCTGGGGAGGTTTGGGGGGACACAGGGGGAGGCGGGGGTGGTCCTGCAGGGATGGAGGGGCTCAGGATGCTGTGCTGGGGGCACGGAGGGGACCCCAGCCTCGAGCTCATCCCTCCCCGCAGGCTCGGAGCAGTCGCTGAGCGCGCGGAGCCCCGTGTCCACCTGGGCCTACCTGCAGCACCTGAGGGCCATCGACAGCCAGAAGGAGCTGCTGAGGCTCTCCCGGGAGCTGGAGCCCTGAGGGAGCGGGGCTGGAGCGGGGATGGGGGCCCCAGGAGAGGATGGAGGAGCAGAGAGGGGACGGGGTTCGGAATGGGGATGGGGGCCCGGGATGGGGATGGGACCCAAAGCAGGAACAGGGGTCCGGAGTGAGGACGGGGGTCCAGAGCGGGGCTGAGTACCCAGAATGGGGATGGGGACCTGGAGTGAGGATGGGGGTCTGGAGCAAAGATGGGTTCCCAAATTTCCCATGGGAGTCCTGAGGATGAGGGACCAGAGGGGGGATGGGGGCCCAGAATGGGGATGGGGGTCAGGAACGAGGATGGGAGCCCAAAGAGAGGATGGGGGTCCAGAATGGGGATGGGACACCAGAATTAGGATGGGGGCCTAGAGCGAGGATGGGGGCCTGGCTGCTGGCAGCGGGGCAGCCCCTGGCTCTGCTCCCAGTGCCACAGGCTGTGCTGGAGCCACCCAGAGCTCGGCCATGGACTCAGATCCAGCCCCGGGTTCTGCTGGAGCTGCCCCAGAGCTCGGCCATGGGCTCAGGGCTCTGCTGGAGCCACCCAGAGCTCGGCCATGGGCTCAGATCCAGCCCCGGGTTCTGCTGGAGCCCCCCCAGAGCTCGGCCATGGACTCAGATCCAGCCCCAGGTTCTGCTGGAGCCTCCCCAGAGCTCGGCCATGGGCTCAGGGCTCTGCTGGAGCCACCCAGAGCTCGGCCATGGGCTCAGGGCTCTGCTGGAGCCACCCAGAGCTCAGCCATGGGCTCAGATCCAGCCCCAGGTTCTGCTGGAGCTGCCCCAGAGCTCGGCCATGGACTCAGATCCAGCCCCAGGTTCTGCTGGAGCCTCCCCAGAGCTCGGCCATGGACTCAGGGCTCTGCTGGAGCTGCCCCAGAGCTCGGCCATGGACTCAGAGCTCTGCTGGAGCCACCCCAGAGCTCGGCCATGGGCTCAGGGCTCTGCTGGAGCCGCCCCAGAGCTCGGCCATGGGCTCAGGGCTCTGCTGGAGCCACCCAGAGCTCGGCCATGGGCTCAGATCCAGCCCCAGGTTCTGCTGGAGCTGCCCCAGAGCTCGGCCATGGACTCAGACCCTGCCCCAAGCTCTGCTGGAGCTGCCCCAGAGCTCAGCCATGGGCTCAGGGCTCTGCTGGAGCCTCCCCAGAGCTCGGCCATGGACTCAGACCCTGCCCCAAGCTCTGCTGGAGCTGCCCCAGAGCTCGGCCATGGGCTCAGGGCTCTGCTGGAGCTGCCCCAGAGCTCGGCCATGGACTCAGACCCTGCCCCAAGCTCTGCTGGAGCCACCCAGAGCTCGGCCATGGACTCACACCCGACCCCGTGGGCAGCCGAGCCCCGGTGAGCTGCGGGCAGGTGAGGGTGGAGCAATAGAGGTATTTTTGTACTCACGGCTGCGCTCCTGTTCTTCCCCGAGCTCGGGGTCAGCCCCTGCTCCTGCACCCCCAGTGTGACTGCAGCAGCCCCAGGGGAGGTGACACAGCGCTGGCAGCAGCAGGGGACGGGTCAGGAAATGACTGAGGGCTGAGGGAGAAGCCAAACCCGGCCCTTATTACACCAAACGCCGCTCCCGTGCCAGCTGGCACCGCCTGGGCACAGCAGGCACCGCTCCCTGCCCCGGGAGGGATCCCGGGGATCGCCCCGGCTCCTCGGGGGCTCTTTGGGGTCGGGTCTCACCTGCCCAGGTGTGGGGCACGGGGTGTGAGCCTCCCCTTGGGTGGGGGACACGCTGTCCTGGGGCCGTGGCGGATCCCAAAGCACCGGGGCCATGTGCCAGGGGCTGCCCCAGGACCCCCCAAACGCTGACCCTGCCTGGAATTGCCCCGGGGCAAGCCAGAGGGACCTGGGCCACCAGGAGCAGCCGCTCTTGGCCACCCTGGGCTGTTTGGAGCAAACCCTGCGGCTTTGGGATGCGGTTTTGTGGGAATACCTGCCAGGGGGTGAGGAAGAGGAGGCAGAGCCCGGTGGTGCCCAAGAGGGACCTTGCTGGTGCTTCACGATTTCCCTGGCAAAGCCCCTGCTCAGCGCCGGGCAGGCTCCAGGAACGTTTCCCATCGGGGCTGGCGGGGCTGAGCCGGGGCAGGGAAGGGGCTGGGACCCCCCAGGCCTGGCCGGAGCCCCCCAGGACCTTGGAGGGTCCCTGGAGCAGCTCTGGGCTCACCCCGGGAGTGGGACCAGGCTGGAGTAACCCCAAAACCTCACCCCGGGGTTGCGGTGGAGTTTCGGGTTGTCCTGGAGCACCCGGAGGCTCCAAGGATCCGTGCTGAGGGGGGGGGTCACAACCTCCCAGGTGAGTTAGGGGAGCTCATTACCCCAATTAACGCTGCTCCCAGTTCGCAGCAGCCTCCCCGAGCGCGATGCCCGGTCAGGGACCCGGCTGTGCCCCCGGTGCCGCTTCTGGGGGTGGGCAAAGCCCCCCCGGGACCCTCGCCCCGCAGCCCCGGCCTCCCCCGGGGGTCAGGCCCGGGAGCCGTGGCGCAAGCCCGGGATTCTGGATTTACCAGCCCTCCTCCCACTGCGGGCAGCCTGTAATTAGCCGCGCTCTTAATGAGTTTTGGGGAAGTTTGGGTGCAGCCCGCCCGCGGAGCCCTCGCTGCCATCACGCCCCTCCCTCGCTCCCCGCACAAATAGCCGGGAGCTCGGGCAGCTCGGGCACTGCCCGCCGCTGCCGGGGCACCATGGAGCGCTGGATCCTCCTGCTCGGCGCCGCCACCGCCCTGGGCTGCGCGGCCGGCCGTGAGTAGCAGCGGGGAGCGGGGACCTTCCACCGGGAGCTGGGCTCCGCTGGGGCAGCTGGGATGGAGCGGGGGCTTTAAACCAGCCCGGGCTGGGGAGGGACTGTCAATATTCCCTGCTGGAATTCCCTGCTGGAAAACCAGCCCGGGCTGGGGAGGGACTGTCCGAATTCCCTGCTGGAATTCCCTGCTGGAAAACCAGCCCGGGCTGGGGAGGGACTGTCAATATTCCCTGCTGGAATTCCCTGCTGGAAATCAGCCCGGGCTGGGGATGGACTGTCCGAATTCCCTGCTGGAAACTGTCCGAATTCCCTGCTGGAAAACCAGCCCGAGCTGGGGATGGACTGTCAATATTCCCTGCTGGAAACTGCCCGAATTCCCTGCTGGAAAACCAGCCCGGGCTGGGGATGGACTGTCCGAATTCCCTGCTCCGCAGCCTGGCCCAGCAGTGGGTTCCTGGTGGCTCTGAGCCTGTGCCGGTCCTGCAAAGCACAGGGAACTCTCCTCTGGCTCCTCCTTCCCATTTATCCATGGAAAACCAGCTTTGGGAATTCTCCAGTCCCCATCCCGTACCCACCTTCCCTCCGTGGCCACTGGGGCAGCTCAGGTGGCAAAGGCAGCACGGGCCGGGCTGTGCCACCCCTCCCGGCCCCGAGGTGCCCACGAGAGGCTCGAGGTGGGCGAGGGAGAGGAGCCCCGGCTGTAGGGATGAGCTCGGGGCCACCAGGATTTGGCAGCCACGGGGGTGAGGAGGTGCTGGCAGTGCCAAATTCTTGCACAAAGCGTGATCCACTGGCACCAAGGACAGGATTTCATCAGCCCCGACGCTGCCAGGAGCTCGTATCTGATGTCCCAGGAGAGGATGAGTCCCCTCGGGATGAAAGATGAGGAGTTTTGCAAGGCCAGCTCCCAGGAGAAGCTGCAAACCCAGCGTGGGGCTGGGAGCAGGATTTCCCAAGCTCCTGTGTGAGTCCTGGGCTCCCAAATTTCCCGTGTGAGTCCTGAGTTCCCAAACCCCCGTGTGAGTCCTGGGCTCCCAAATTCCCATGTGAATCCTGAGCTCCCAAATTTCCCGTGTGAGTCCTGAGTTCCAAACTTTCCACGTGAGTCCCGAGCTGTTCCAAAGGAAAACCCGTGGTGAAGGTGGCTGAGGAGCTCGGCTGCCTCGTGGTCAGCCCTGGCCACCTGCAGGACCTGTCTGGTGGCCTGGAGCCTCCTCACTTCTCCTCGCGTGGGCAGCAGGAGATGTTCCCTGTCCCACAGCCGGGGCTCTGGGACAGGAGCTGAGGCTTTGGGGAGCTCAGGCTGTCCATAGTTCTGCTCCAGGCTCATTTGTCCCTCAAATTGTCCCTTCTGGAGCCTGGGCTGGGTTTGGATCCGCGTTTTCCTGGAGGAACGAGGGCCTGAGTCAGGCCAGGGGCTTGAGGACGCGGCTCTGGCTGAGCTGACTCATCCCCGTGCCCGAAACCAAACTGGGAGCACTGGGAGAGCTCCGGCACCTCCCCACTGCTCGGAGGACGGAGCTGGGCAGGGAACAATCCCCTTCCCTCGGCCACGAGGCCACTTTGGCAAAGGCAAACCGAGTTTGGGAGCGGAGGGAGAGGTCTGGTCCCTGAGAAGGAGAAATATTTCTGTGCTTTGTGCAGCCAGAGAAAATCCTGGGGCAGGACCAGCCAAAAAAATCTTCACTGGCTGGAGCAGGGGACCGCTCAGGAGCCCCGTGGCTCTGGGAATTTGGGATTTGGGATGATGCTGAGCCTCTGATCGCCCCACCAGGGACAGCTGAGAGCCCTGCAGTGATTGAGGGTCGATTTGGGGTCTGAGTGAGGAGGAGGAGCCTTCCCCTGCCCTGGGACTGCTCAGGAGCCCCGTGGCTCTGGGAATTTGGGATTTGGGATGATGCTGAGCCTCTGATCGCCCCACCAGGGACAGCTGAGAACCCTGCGCTGATTTAGGGTCGTTTAGGGTCGATTTAGGGTCGTGTCTGAGTGAGGAGGAGGAGGAGGAGCCGTTCTCGTGTCCTAAGTCCGCTCAGGAGCCCCGTGGCACTGGGAATTCGGGACCGGGGATTCGGGATGATGCTGAGCCCGCCCCTCCGAGGGCTGAGTCAGGCTCGGGCCCTGCCGGGACACGCCGGGGCCGCCGCGACACCCCCGGGCCCGCGGGACCGGCAGCGGGACGGGCTCGGCGGTGGCGGGGAGCGTGGGCAGCTCCCGCCTTGCACAACCCCCGCGAGTGCGGCTGGAAAAGGAGCGTGGGGGATCCCGGGGGGTTTATCCCAGCGCCCGGGAACGGCGCTGGGCTGGGCTGGTCGGACTGGGAGCGACCCATCCATGGGATGTCCCTGCCCTGGGAGTTCCTCCAGCTCTTCTCGGGGGCTTCGGGAGAACATCGAGACCCTCCCGCTGCTAAAATCCTCCTGATTAAAGTGGGTTTGCAGGGAATGGGAAGCCAAGAGGGAAAACCAAGGCAAGGACACCCCCAGGAGCTGGGATTTGGGGGGCCGAGGGGAGCCAAGGGGTCCCCCAGCACCCGCAGGGCCTGGGTGACATCACCGGGCACAAATAATCGGCGAGAAGTGACAAAGGGGACAAACCAGCCGTTTGATGCCACCCTCCCGGCCCGGATGGCGCTGTCACCGCCTGGGCAGGACGTGCCGCAGCAGGATTTGCCCCGGGGCCACCTTTCAGCCGAGCTGGGCGAGCCCGCGGTGCCTCAGCCGCCCGGAGATTGCGGCTCTGCCAGCGAGGGCAACGCCCGATCCTCCAGGGCTGCGTTTGCGGGCAGGCCGGGGCTGCTGGCACGGCTGGGCACGGTGCCACCCTGCTGGGACGGTGCCACCCTTCAGGACAGTGCCACCCTGCCCGGACAGGGCTGCTGGCACGGCTGGGCACGGTGCCACCCTGCTGGGACAGGGCCACCCTGCCCGGACAGTGCCACCCTGCTGGGACGGGGCTGCTGGCACGGCTGGGCACGGTGCCACCCTGCCGGGACAGTGTCACCCTGCTGGACAGTGCCACCCTGCCGGGACAGTGTCACCCTGCTGGACAGTGTCACCCTGCCGGGACAGTGCCACCCTCCCTCTGAGGTGTTTTTTTGGCTCTTTCTGTGCCATTCCTCCGGTCAGGAGCTGGTGAGGAGCAGGAGCTCCTTCCTCGGGGCTGTCCCAGGACAATCCCAACCCCAAATGATTTTGGTGATCTGTAGTTCCACGTTTCAGCACAGGACAGCGTGAGAAACCCTTTAAAGTACAGAAATCAACGTGGAGCCACTGTGAAAAACACCAAATTCCACCAAAACTGGTGTTGGATAAAGCCAGACTGTTCTGTGCCTTCACATGTAACCCAAGGCTGAAATTCAGATCAATTATTTCTAAAATAATTGGTCATATAATATAAAATAAGAAGAAGAAACAAAGCAGAAGGAACAAAACACATTTTTGTGTTTTTAAAAAATACTAGTTTGCTTTCTATTGAATTCTTTCATTTTGGGATTTTCCCAGGACAATCCCAACCCCTTGGTGACCTCCAGCTCCTCACTGCTCGGTGACAAGTGTCCCTTGTCCCTCTGAGAGTGTCCCTTGTCCCCTTCAAAGCCTCAGCGCTGCAGTTTTCAGCTCTGCTTCGCTCCCAGAGCGGGCGCCCAGCAGCTCGTTCCTTAGGAACAGCCGGGGAAGGAGATTTCCCAGTGCTCCCAGTTTCCCAGGCAGGACACGAGCGCTGCCTGGAATGCGGCAGCTCCTCCGGCGGGGCCCGGGGCTGGGATCATCCCGGGATCATCCCGGAATCCCGGGCTCAATCACGGGCAGCAGGCCCGGGGCCCCGGGGTGCTCAGGCTCATCCAGGGGTGAATCACAGGGAGGAGTCCCGGGGGCCCGGGGATCATTCCGCGATCATCCCGAGATCCAGGGGTGAATCACAGGGAGCAGTCCCGGGCTCATTCCGGGATCATCCCGGGGTCCTGGGGCTCATTCCGGGGTGAATCACGGGGAGCAGTCCCGGGGTCCCGGGGCGCTGGGCTCATCCCGGGAGCGACCCTGGTGACAAAAATCCCCGGTGGCTGCCGCGCTGCCGGGGGCTGGCCCGGAGGGGACAGAGGTGGGCCTGGGGGTGCTCCGGGGTGGGGTGGCCGCACTCAGCCCCTCCTGAGGGTCGCCCCCTCTCTGTGCCCCCACAGATCTGTACACAGCCCCCGACTCGTGCGAGGGCCGCTGCGGGGAGCCCTTCAGCGAGGAGGACGAGTGTCACTGTCACCCCGAGTGCGTGGCACACAACAACTGCTGCGAGGACCACGAGAGGCACTGCGGGCCCGGTGAGCGCCCGGCCACAGGGATTTGGGTGTCCCCACCCCTGCCGAGGGGGCCGGGGCTTGGTCCCGAGCCTCTGAGGTGTCCCCAGGGTGTCCCCAGGGTGTCCCCATCCCCCTGAGCTCCCTTTCCTCTCTGCTCCGCAGGTGCCGAAGGCGCCGAGGATGGAGCTCGAAGCCGCGGTGAGTCGGGAGGGGCAGAGCGGCCCCGGGTGCCTCGAGTGTCCCCCAATTCCTCGGGTGTCCCCCAATTCCTCGGGTGTCCCCCACTCCTCGGGTGTCCCCCAATTCCTCGGGTGTCCTCCTGTGCCTCGGGGTGTCCCCCATTCCTCGGGTGTCCCCCCATTCCTCGGGTGTCCCCCATTCCTCGGGTGTCCCCCAATTCCTCGGGTATCCCCCACTCCTCGGGTGTCCCCCTGTGCCTTGGGTGTCCCCCCATTCCTCGGGTGTCACTCGCAACCCCTGCCTGTCCCCACAGGGACATCCTCGCTTTTCCATGGATCCTCTGGATCCCACTCCCTTTTCCATGAATCCAGCTGGATCCCACTCCCTTTTCCATGGATCCTCTGGATTCCCACTCCCTTTCCATGGACCCAGCTGGATTCCCACTCCCTTTTCCATGGATCCTCTGGATCCAGTTCCCTTTTCCATGGATCCTCTGGACCCCACTCCCTTTTCCATGGATCCTCTGGATTCCAGTCCCTTTTCCATTAATCCAGCTGGATCCCACTCCCTTTCCATAGATCCTCTGGATCCCACTCCCTTTCCATGAATCCAGCTGGATCCCACTCCCTTTCCATGGATCTTCTGGATCCCACTCCCTTTTTCATGAATCCAGCTGGATCCCACTCCCTTTTCCATGGATTCTCTGGATTCCCACTCCCTTTCCATGGACCCAGCTGGATTCCCACTCCCTTTCCATGGATCCCCTGGGTCCCACTCCCTTTCCATGGACCCAGCTGGATTCCCACTCCCTTTCCATGGATCCCCTGGGTCCCACTCCCTCCCCGTGGATCCCAGCGCTGTCCCCAGCCCCTGCCTGTCCCCACAGCCGGGTCCTCCCGCAGCAGCGATGCCATCACGGAGCAGGAGCTGCTGGAGCTCTCGGAGCAGCTTTACGGGCTGGATCACAACAAAGCCCGGCCCGGCGACATCGCCATCAACCCCCAGCACCTGGCGGGCCCCGAGGAGACCGGGGACAAGCAGGACCGGTCCCCGCAGCCGTGAGTGGCCCCGGGGCAGGGACGGCCACCCGAGCCGGGCTGGCTGCGGGAAGGGAGCTGCAATTCCAGGAATTCTCCCCCAGGCTCTACAAATACGTGAACGAGGAGCTCTTCTCCAAGCCCACCTACGCCAGCTTCATTAAGCTGCTGGATAATTACCAGAGGGCCACGGGCAGGGAGGAGGAGGTGACGGCCGAGGAGCTGCAGGAGCAGGAGCGTTTCCTGGAGGAGGTGATGAAAACGGAGCTCATGAAGAAACTCTTCGTGTTCCTGCAGGGAAAAAGTGAGTGTGGGGCAGGGCAGGGCCGGGGGACCCCAAAGGGAGACGATCCAAGGCTGCACGCTCCATTTCCAGAAGGCTTCAAACCTGTTTTTACTTTATCATTCATGCTTTTTATACATTCTTACAAATCTCCTACATTTACACTTTGGTCAGGAGAGACAAACAAAAGTGCTCGTTGGAACAGGCAGCTGCAGGTTTCTGTGATTTCTCCTTTTCTGGTCAGGTTTCTGTGATTTCTCCTTTTCTGACCAGCTTTCTCTGATTTCTCTTTTTCTTTCTTGGTTTCTGTGTCAACGACCATGGTAGGAAATTCTCTCAGGGCTAAACGTGGATCCTATTCTCAAACTTCTCCTTCTCCTTGGCTGTCAGAAGTCACTGGAAAACTTCCTGGGAGAATTCCCGAGGGACAGGAGCAGGGAAGGGATGGGGGAACCCCGCTGGTTCTCAGCTTCCTTTTTCGAGGTCAGGATTTCAGGCACTTGAGATGACATTTCACATTCAGACTCAGGTGTTTATTATTTCTTTTCCATGTCAGGATATTTCACATTCACACTCAGGCGTTTATTATTTTTTATCACGATATTTCACATTCCCACTCAGATGTCTGTAATTTCTTTTCCATGTCAGGATATTTCACATTCACACTCAGGTGTTTATCATTCCTTTTCCATGTTACAGTCTCACAGCAGTGAGTTCTGCAGTCCCTCATTAACCAGGCACAAAATGGTTCACTACCTCTTGTTACGAGGTGTTTTAAGGTTCCAATTAAGGAATGACACCTAAATTATTTCACTTTTAACCCAATAACTAACCCCTCAAAGTCCTCAGTGCGGATTTTTCTGTTCAATTACAAAACACCACCCAAAACCCATGAAGAAAAAAGGGAAGATGAAGGACCAGCCTCCTTTTCCTATATTCTAAAACCCTAAAGTCTGACATCACACACCCACAATCCCAGCACTATCGATCAATTTTAGAAGCCTTCTCCACGGCCTGAGGTCAAATGCAGCGTTCTCCTGGGGGTCAGAGGCTGTCAGCACAGAAAATCCAAATTTCTCAGCCCCCGGAGCTGCAGCAGAGCCCCAGCTCCGCCTCTCCCTGTGCTCCCACCTTTCCCTGCAGATCGCTACGGCTCGGAGCAGGAGTTCCTGCAGGACCTGGCGCAGATGTGGTTCGGGCTGTACTCCCGAGGGGACGGAGAGCGCGACTCCAGCGGCTTCGAGCACGTTTTCTCAGGTACAGCCCCCGCCGGGGCCGGGCCGGGGCAGCGCCGGCCCCGGGGGCTCATCCCGGCCTCTCCTCTGCTGTTTTAGGGGAGGTGAAAAAGGGGAAAGTGTCTGGATTTCACAACTGGATCCGCTTCTACCTCCTGGAAAAGCAGGGGGTCGTCAACTACTTCAGCCACAACTTCAACGGGCCGGTGAGAGCTCCTGGGGGGCCGGGGCACCCCGAATTCAGCCCACGGGGGTGAACCCACAGCATCGGGGTGCTGCCCCTGCCCCATCCCTGCTGCGGGGTGGGGTGGGCCAGAACCCACAGTGCCAGGGACAATCCCTCCCCCAAGCCATGAGCCAGAGGTTTGAGGCTGGGGGGCTCTGCTGGGACCCCTCAGCCTGGCCGGGAGCTGCTCTGGATCCTCCCTGGAGGGGCTGTGAGGGTTCCTGGCCGGGCTGGGTGTGAATTCCCTCCCTGGAGTGAGGGTTCTAGCTGGGCTGGGTGTGGATTCCCTCCCTGGAGTGAGGGTTCCTGGCTGGGCTGGGTGTGGATTCCCTCCCTGGAGGGGCTGTGAGGGTTCCTGGCCGGGCTGGGTGTGAATTCCCTCCCTGGAGTGAGGGTTCCTGGCCGGGCTGGGTGTGGATTCCCACCCTGGAGGGGCTGTGAGGGTTCCTGGCCGGGCTGGGTGTGAATTCCCACCCTGGAGTGAGGGTTCCTGGCCGGGCTGGGTGTGGATTCCCTCCCTGGAATGAGGGTTCCTGGCTGGGCTGGGTGTGGATTCCCTCCCTGGAGGGGCTCTGAGGGTTCCTGGCCGGGCTGGGTGTGGATTCCCTCCCTGGAGTGAGGGTTCCTGGCTGGGCTGGGTGTGAATTCCCTCCCTGGAGTGAGGGTTCCTGGCCAGGCTGGGTGTGGATTCCCACCCTGGTGGGGCTCTGAGGGTTCCTGGCCGTGCTGGCCATGGATCCCCACCCTGCTGAGCCCAAACCCTGCTCCGGCCCCAGTGGGACTCGTACCCCGACGTGCTGGGGCTCCAGTTCAGCTGGGACGGCTTCTACAAGGAGGTGGGCTCGGCTTTCATCGGCTGCAGCCCCGAGTTCGAGTTCGGCCTCTACTCCCTCTGCTTCCTCGCACGGCCCGGCCGGGCGTGAGTGCTGACCCTGTGTCTGTCTGTCCATCCTGAGTCCCTCTGTCCATCCTGAGTCCCTGTGTCCACCCCGTGTCCTTCTGTCCACCCCGTGTCCTTCTGTCCATCCCAAGCCTGGTCCTGGGGGCAGCGGGACCTCCCTGAGCCCCATCAGAGCTGAGGCTGGCCCTGAATTTGGGGTGGGATGGGATGGGATGGAAATGGGGATGGGGATGGGGATGGGATTGGATGGAAATGGGGATGGGATGGAAATGGGGATGGGGATGGGATGGAAATGGGGATGGGATGGGATGGAAATGGGGATGGGATGGGATGGAAATGGGGATGGAAATGGGATGGAAATGGGGATGGGATGGGATGGAAATGGGGATGGGATGGGACAGCATTGCCTGGGGACACCAAGAGCATCCTGGAGATGGGATTGTGGGATGAGGGGCTCAGGGCTGGGGCCCCGCGGCTGTGGGGACACCAAGAGAGGTCCCAGGCACGGAGCAGGGCGGTGACAGGCGGTGCCCCCACAGATGCCACCTGAGCCTGGGCGGGCACCGCCTCAGCATCCAGACCTACCCCTGGACCAAATCCACCTACGGCGGCGGCAGGAGGTTCATCGCCACCGCCTACGTGATGTCGACCTGAGGGGGCTCGGCGGTGGGCGAGCTCCGGGGCCGTCCCCGCGCTGCTCGGGCCGCTCCGGCCGCGGGACGGGAGCGGCGGCACCGCGGGCCCGGCCCGGGGGCCCGGAGGGGCCTGGGAGGGGCGGCGGGGACCGAACCCTGCGGGGAGGGGAGCAGGGGACACCCCCAGACCCCGCCGCGTGTGGCGGGCCCGGGCTCGGCAGAAGAGCGGCGGGAAGGGAAGGGTTTGGCACGGAAAGGAGGACGCTGAGCGGAATAAACGCTGCCCTGGCTGGAGGAGCGCTGGGCTCTGGGTGCAGCAGCGCCCCTTTATCCAGCCCCGCACCCCATTTCTCCCTCCGTTTGTCCTCCCGCCCCCCCTCTGAGCCACCCCCGAGGCCTTGTCCCCCCCGGACACCGCCGGTCCCGGGGGCTCCATCCCCTGGAGCCCCTCCCCGGGAATTCGGTGCCTCCCCGACCCCTTCCAGCTGAGCTCTCCCCGAGGGCCGCGGCTCCCCGGGGACCCCCAAATCCCCCGAGCTGGGGCTGCTCGGGGCTCCAGCTGCTCCGGCAGCGCCCTCAGGGGCACAGCGCAGAGCCCGGGGGGCAGCGGGACCCCCCGGGACCCCCAGGCCCTTTCTGCGGGCCGGGCCGTGAGGATGACTCCCCGCTCCCGGGACACGACCGAGGCCACGCAGCACCCCCGGATTTGGGGGGTCCCGGGAGGGGGGCGACAGCCCCCAGCTCCCCGCGCTGCCCCGTCCCCTCCTCCTCAGCCCCGGGGCCGCGCTCGGGGGGCTCCCGGGGGTCCCGGGGCGGCGGGGCCGGGCGCTCGGAGCTCTGACAGATGGTCCGGCCGCGGCGGCTCCTGCGAGCCCCGCGCCATCTGCCGGGGTCACGGGTGACCCCCAAACCCCGCCGGGGGGAGGGGGCATGCCAGAGCTTGATTTATAGAAATGCGCTGGGAACTGGGGGGAGCGCGGTTTGGGGGGACGCGGGGTGTCCCCCGCAGCCGGGCGGACGCGGGGTGACCGGCTGCGGGCACCGGGGATGCTCCAGGCGGCTCCGGTGCCCGGCCGGGAGCGGCGGGCAGCGGTGCCCCCGCCCGCCTGGCACCGGAGCCGCCTCCTCGGCTCCCGCCGCCTCCCGGGTGCCAAATCCCGGCCTGGCTACGCCGAAGGTCCCCGGTGCCCCCAGGTTCACACAGAGCCCCGCGCCCGCGGCCTCCGGCGCTTTCCGAGCCCATCCCGGGGAGGGTCCTGGGGGTGCCCCGGGGGTGGGTGGGCACAATGAGGGTGCTCAGGGGCTGCCCCGGGGGTGGGTGGGCGCTGGGAGGGTGCTCAGGGCTCCTGGGGGTGCCCCGGGGGTGGGCACTGGGCACTGGGAGGGTGCTCAGGGGGTCCTGGGGTGCCCCGGGGGTGGGTGGGCACAATGAGGGTGCTCAGGGGGTGCCCCGGGGGTGGGTGCTGGGCGCTGGGAGGGTGCTCAGGGGGTCCTGGGGTGCCCCGGGGGTGGGTG